GTAAGTGAAAGAAACATTTACTAAAGAGATTTAAGAATATTGGTAATTGAGCTTATCTTGGAGTCTGTAGAAAATCTTGGAGTCTGTAGAAAATTGAATGAAGTTTGGAGAAGGATGGGATGAAGAGTCCTGGGATCCTGGGACATATATGAGTGATTGAGGTAAAACAATGTATATAGTCATAGTAAGATGATTCCTCATGGGCTTCAGAGGATGTCATAAACAGACCGTAGTCTCTTTAGAAATTGATACTTAAATAATGATGAGGAAGAGGCAAAAGGATCACCACAGTGGTAAGGGGTGGTTCTTACCAAAAGCAAGGTTAGCAGAGTGTTATTTTTTAAAACGATACCTTCCTTCTTCAGTTAGAAATTTAACTGATCTAAATTTTGGGATATTTTCTCCAAACTGGACTTGAGTTCTTCAGAGCTGAAGTAAAGTTCCAGGTGGATGTATATATAGAATCATATCAGGAGAGGAAGGTGTTTCAATCTAAAGAGTCTTGGTGTCAGTATCAGAAAACATTCTCTCAACAAACAGCTCTGTGGACTTTGGCAAAAGAGCTACAGTCAATCATCAAGGTCACCAATAGTTCTCTTCCTGTAGCTGGCATGCTTAAAATACCTTGTAGGGATCTTGGCATCTTACAGACATGAGAGGGCCCTCCTTATAAGCAGTAAGCACACCAGTGACCAGTTCTTATTAGTTCTTGTCATTATTGTGGTCACTGTATGCCTTGGTCACCGTATGCCTAATTCCTAGCATCTTCAATCTCTACTTGGAACATTTTCTTTAAATTTTCACTCTACAAACTGCTACCTATTTTAGAAGATGTCAAATCCTTTACAGTTCTTTTAAATGGTGGTGGCCCACATCTTTTGCACAAAAATAGAAATCAAGTGTCAGGTCTTCTAAGTTACAAGGGCAGAACCTATTCATGACAGTGGATTATTGAGAATTTAATTACAAATTTCTAGTGAAGGATTTATAATGGTTCTCTCTGTGTGTGTGTGGGTGTCTTTTCTTTTTTGGTTTTAGAAAATTAGGATATTTTTCCCTAAACATGTTACCCAGAAAACTTGAATTAGGGAGTTAACCTCCATTTGCTGATTATTCATTTGGGACATGTTCCCTAGTTTCTTTGACTTCATATCAACCACAACAAAATGCTAACCCAATAAAGAAGCAAAGGTCCTGGTGCCAATGTCAGCCATCTCATAGGAGAGTGTTACACAATGTCTGTCTTCCCATTTGATCTTCCAAATCATCATCCCTAAATTTTCCCACTAGCTATTATATCTTTGCAGGTAGAAGTTAGTAAATCCACAATAAGCATGCTATTCACAATTAATCTATGTGGAAGGAGGTAACCCAGCTTTCCTAATTGTTGCAGTTAACATAGAAACATTAAAAGTAGTATAAGCAGAAATGTGCTCATATACACTATGAATAATTTTGACTATAGAAGTTAATATGCATATAAAGGTGAAGGTCAATGAATCTTATTAAAATATTAACAAACACCTCAGTAAGTAAAGGCTAAAGCAAAGTTTGATCTTTCAGAGTTATGGTTTTGTATGTGTCTCTAATACATATATTCAAGTTATCTAGGATACATTTCAAACTTGAAAGTGTAAGAAAGGAAAAAAAGGGTCCCTAAGCAAAATGAACTTAAATATAGAATCAGCAAATAAATTCTACTGAAAATTTCTGTTTAGGGTGGAGATATTGATTGTCCCCTACACATTGCTTGTTGAATACATGAGGCTTTTTCAACACTGTCTTTTGGATGTACATGGCTATTTTATAGTTGGATTTAGGTAAAGTGACAGAATTTAATTTTTAAGAAAAAATGAGCATTTCATTTTTAGTAACATTGTGCTGGAAGCAGATGAACCTGAGAGTGAGCGTCTCTGTGTGCATATACTTTGCCAGGTGGCTCTCATCGGGGTGTTTATTGTTAAGAACACTGCTATTTCTGCCTGAGGTTTGAAGCCAGGACTTCACAGGCTCCCCTGCTGCATTCCTCAGTTCTTTGCAGGCAGAGAGCAGATGGGTGAAGCAGAACAAAATCCCAGCCTCACAGGCACTAATGTGGCGTTCCAGAGACCAGAGTATTGCTCTCAGAGTAAATGCTAATTGAAGCTGGTGAGTGAAATTTAGGATGGAAAATTGGACTTGGCTTATGAGACAGTTGAGAAGCTTGTTAGAGGTATTATCACTCATATTTTGATAAACAGAAAAGACATATTAACATTAAAAACATTTAATCGTTTGCAATGTAGCTTGATTGGTTAGAACAGTAATGCTTCAAGGGTAAGCACACTAGGTCATGAGATTTTTCCTTAATTTTCAGAAGTCACATGTTCACTTGTATTAAAAAATGCTAATTTATGAAGCCATTTGGATTCTTAGAATTTCCACTAAATTCTATCTGACATTTATAGGTTTTTTATTGTCTGTACCTTTTTATGGCTCTATTATGGCAGTTATCCCATTATTTATTTATTTATTTATTTATTTATTTATTTGTATTCGTGTGCATCTTTCCCTCACACTCTTTCCGTTTCTTTTGGAAAAATCCCATGTATTTTCATTATTATATCCCTCGAATTGGGTCCAGTGCAACAAACTAGAAAGCAAAAAGTAATAGAAGGAGCAGCCAACATTCCTTCCAGTTCATGGTCAAGGATGGTCATGCAAAATAAAGATAATTTACTGATTTTGGAATGAACTGAACATTCATCCATTATACCACTACCGGCCTTTTCACTACAAATGTACTCAACTAACCATTAAAATATGAATTTGTGTATATAAGCAAATGTGTTAGATGTTTGTACCAAGTAATTATGATACTTTTGAGCACTGCAGCTATGAGCACAAAACAGTCATATACATCCTCATGTATATGAGGATATTTTGCCAAAGTAATTTTTAAAATAACTTTTGGGAATTAGAGAATAACAATTATTGCATCTAGATACAATTAGTTTCCAAGTTTCAATACAAATCATGAAAGATACATAAATGGATCTTCAGATTTTTCTCAGTCATCTAGAGTAAGATTCGTTGACTTCTATTGGATATGGTGACTTGCTTGTCTTGCTGGAAGTTCCAAAAGAAACCCTGGATAAAAGCTAGTCATCCTTCAGAGTTTGAGAGAAAACTTTAATTTCTCTCTCTGTGAGCACTGTCTTTGCAGATGCTCAGCTAATTTCATACTCTGGTATATTTCACTTTTACATTACTACAAGGTAGAAAAGTATACTACAGAGGGCCTCCCTGGTGGCGCAGCGGGTTAAAGCACAGCACTGAGAAGCTAAAGTCACTTCCCCATGAGTTCGATTCCCGCCTGCCCTGGAGGAGACCACATGGCATGGCAGACCTCTCCTGACCCGCCCGCTGCTCCCCTCAGCAGTGTACTTCGTCGATCTGCCTGTCTGCTCCCCACTCTGTCTCTGGTGAGTTCTCTCACCCTCCACATCTCTGGCCTGTACCCCAGTTCTGTATGAATAAATAAATAAATCTTAAAAAAAAATCCTCAACTATTAGCAAACTGAAATATATATTTATACACCTCAAATGTGACTCTTGTAGTCATAGGAAACTGAATCAATATTTTAAAACCCATCAGTACACTCCACATTATCAATACACTAAAAAAGAAAATTCTATGTTGATCAACTGATGCAGCAAAGACGTGACAAAAATCTGACCCATTCACGATAAAAACTCTTAGACCTCAACTTAATAAAAAGCATCTATAAAAACCCTACCATTATAATTAATGGTGAAATGCTTCTTTTTAAGATTTTGAATGAGCAAAATGTCTGCTTTCAAAAGTCTTCACTATAGCACTAACCTAATCACTGCAAACAAATGGGCATATGGGTTGGAAAGGAAGAAATAATGCTGTTCTTACGTACTGATGTCAAAGTTGTCTATAAAAAGGAGAAAGCATACAAGCATACATGTACAAAAATGAACAATGAAATAATATATATTTAAAAAAAAGAAAGAAAATCCCAAGGATTCTACAAGGAAATATCGAGCTCTAATAGGTAAATTCAGTAAATTCTTAGGATACAAGATAAATATGCAAACATCTATCATTTTGTATACTAATAATCAATTTGTAGAAATTGAAATTAAAGATTATTTACAATAACACCAAAGAAAACTAAATTACCTAGATATAAACAAAACAAAAATGCCCAGAGTCTGGAAGTTTAAAACACTACTCAGAAGTAAAGAATTTTAGAAAATGTGAAAAAGATGTGGAAACACATTTTACTGAACAGGAAATACAGCTGACAAAGAAGTACATGAAAAGATGTTCAGTATCATTAGCCATTAGGAAAGTTATTATAATCGCAATAAGTTATTACCACATACCTATCAGAATAATAAAACTAAAAAATAGTTACATCGAATGCTGATGACAATGCAAAGAAACTGAAGTACTCACATATTGTTAGTGGTGATATTTTCCAATCACACTGGAAAATTTTTAGGAACTAAACATCTAACTATGATATTAATCCAACATTTATCCCAGAGAAATTGATACTTGAATTCACACAAAAGCATATACAAAAATATTTATATCATCTTTATTTATCACAGTCAAAGACTGGAAACAACCTAGAGATTTCCTTCAGTGGGTGAATGCCAACAACTTGTGATACACATACCAAATTTTCTGCTCTAAAGGTAAAAAATTTGAGTTAGGCTCCAATCCCAAAGTAATGTATAAAAATATTTCCTCTTTCAACATCTCCTCTCTCCTTATTTTTAAGATTTTCTTCATAATTTGAGGAATTATGATATGTAAAACATGATTTGTTTTTATGCCCACAAGGAGGACCCTTTGCCTCACAACAGCACAGCCTAGACAGCACAGCTCTGACTGCTAATCCACCACTTGGCTAAACATAGGACCTGCTATAAAATTCTAGAAAATCAAGTCATCTATCTGCCATCTACTTGGTCTAGGCTGTGAGTCCAGGCTGATAGTATAAACAACCCGAGGCCTCTGGGTGGCGGAAGGAAGCAGGCAGTTTAGCAATGTGCCCATATTGTTTCTCCAAGAACAGCTCCACACATTCCCCAGCAGACCGGCTACTGCTACCTTCATTGATGTTGATCTCACAGTGCTCACCTGTGTATCTTGCAGGATAAAAGTGAAGAGAAGCTGCTCCGTCCAAGCTTGTCAGCCATGGAGCACATGCTTGAAAGAAGGCAGACCACTGAGCTGGCACCAATCAACAAAATGATGTGCTGCCCTCCAAGAGCTAGCTAAGGGAATCTGGTAAGAGGAAATAAATAAATTGGAGTAGCAATGGAATCCTTTGCAGAATAGAGGTCAATAATATCTATAAAAATTTGATTAACAAAGGCTTGAAACATAGGGCATATAACCATTAATTTAACTTGAATATTGTAACTAAAGACCAAGTCCCACAAATATTCCAATAGTTTGAATTATTGGCAAAGGGAAAAAAAAATCAAAAAAATAGCCAAGCATCAGCAATATTTACAGAACTAACCCTAAATTCTTCTCTTAAAACTCAAAGTAAAGATAGATGATTGTTCCCATATTTAGACAATAAAAAATTATGCTGTATTTGAAAGTATTTATGTGGGCCATAGGGACAAGAATAAAAACAAACATGAATGATAATTTAGTACTTTATAAAAAAAACTTAAAGAATAAATATAAAACAAAGTACCTACCCAAACTATATCATTAGTTTTACATGTATGTACGTACACCTGTAAAAAAGAGTGTATAACATAAAATCTATATATCTAACTATATCAATAGCTTATAAACTTTGTGTGTGTGTGTGTTATTTTATCTGGATCATACTGTCTACATCCTTCTGCAATCTGCTTTTTCATTCCCTCCCACAATCTATCCATATTAGTAATATAGAGCTAACCCACAATTTTTTATTATTGATAACTATTCTGCAATAAGAATATATCAGAGTTTAACTATTCTATCAGTTTTATACATGTATTTGTTATTATCAAGAAGGGTTTCAATAAATAGCACTATAAATATCTGCTTGTCTAAATGTCTGAGTATAACACTAGGATTTGTGTCTAGAAATGGAATTTCTGTTATAGAAGTTATGCATCTATGTTATTTTAATAAACACCAGTACTTACTTCTAAAGAAGTTACACCATTTTCAAAATTACCAGCACTGAATGTGTGTGCATATAGCTTGGAACCCTTGCAATATTTGCCATTACTAAATTTAAAATATTTGCTATTTGGCTAGATAAAAAATAACGTCACATTGTTACTTTGGTTTACATATTCCCAATTACTACTGAATTTAACATTCTTTGAACATTTCATGTATTTTCCTGTTTTTTCCTAATTTTTCTTTTTGACTTATATGAGTATATATTATGAAGAGAGCCAGTCCATAAATGTAAGATTAGTTAGATGATAAAGTAATGCTGGTGAATGGGACCAGGATAATATCAGTTATTTGGTTAGATGATGAAAGAGGTGTATAAAGCTCTGAAGAAACACAAATTGACTTACAAATGACTTTATGGTCAAAGGTCTTTGTAATATAACTCAACTCTGCTAAGAAATATACTTAAAAATAACATTTACAGTAAAACATTAAAGTATGGCTTTTTTTCCTTCAAATCACTCAGTGGCTTCATCTTGCACACAAGTAAAATGTAAAATATTTAACTTAAAATCCCCTTTATTAACTGTTCCACCTCTCTGTTCCCACCCTTTGATGTCTTCAAGTTAGGAACCTCAAAGTATGATCCCCAGAAAACCCCTCCACGAGAGTGTACACTTGGCTCACTCTTGGTTTGCAGACTTTTTCTTAATTACTTTCTCATAATGACTTTTCCTCATGTACAGAATCAGATAAGATTCCCTTGTTTTCTTGTTTTCTCTCACATAACTAATGTTTTCATTGTTTATGCAATAATTGTTTTCTATATTAATTTTTATATATAGTTACTTTACTCAACACAGCTTGTCAAAGCAGAAACTGTGTTTGTTTGCTTTTTTATTCACTATTCCAAAAATGGGTAAAACTTAAATAGTAGGCCTTCAGTCAGTGATTGATTGAGATTCAAATACTACAATTCAATAATTTAGATTAAAATCCTAATTTAGCAACTAAGAGAATGGACTAAAAATTAACAAGCAACTAATAAAGAATATAATGTGAATGCTCATTTCTATAATTTTAATAAAAACCTGAGTGGGATCATATGTCAAATCATAACCACAACATAAATTCTATTGCTCAGTAGTAAATCAGTTGTCACATGTGAACTTGAGGTCTTTTAACCATTGGAAGAAGAAACTTATAGTTAAAAAAATGAAACTAAAAGCACATGTCAGATCAAGATCCCACAATTCTCTGTACTGACCCACCCCCCAAAACCATCAGTCACTTTAACTTGAATGTCTAACTTTATTTCACACTTGAAGATACAAAAATTTCACTCTAATAATTTTCACAAGTTTTATAAAAAATTTTTTTGTGCTACAGTGGACTTGATGAAGAAACTATCAGACGATTTTCAGTTTTCCTCTCATTCTAAGTATCAAGACTCATATACAGGTCAGGTTAGGAAATAATTTAGAACCATCATAAATCCTTTTTTTTTTTTTTTTTTTTTTTGGTGGCTCATGCATTTTTTCATTCGTATCGCAAATATTTAGCAGGTTCTGATTTATAGTCTTGCCAGTTTGTCCCTACTCCTGGGCCCCCTTGGGGATTTTGTCTGTTTCCTTTAAGCTTATATATAAATACACTCTTTTAGTCAAGGCTATGTTCAATAGCTTTAACATGTTTTTCTATAAAACTCTATAAAAAGAAACAATATAATCATCATGTCTCAGGGTTCTTACATATTTTTGTAAACAAACCAAATCATATCTGGGTAACATGTAAACTTTTAAGATGAACATTTAATAATAACTTCCACTTCTTAAATTAATGACTTTGAAATAAGGACCCTAGGCAATTATAGCAGTGGATTCCTGCCATTGTGTTCTGTGCCAGGGTATCAAGTTCCAAAAGAATGTTCTCCTCCTCTTAGATGGAGTCTGTAGTGTTAAATTCTCTCTATATATAACAGTGAGAATAGGTACAAAGCTATTCTGAATTTTTCTCTCTAGGCAAAATCACCATATATGTATTGATCCAGAAATTCAGAATGTTATAAATCTGTGCCCCTTCCTTATCCCACCTCCTAGCTGTCTATTCTCATCTCTACATTTAACTCTATAATCTTCTTTCTGGCAGATGTTTATCTCTTGTTTAGAGAGCCATTCTACAGAACTACAGAACCATTTCACTAATTCCCTGCCTTTAACTTTAATTTCTTCAGTCATTGTCCAATAAAAGGTCAGGGAGCTTTTTTGAATTTACTGTTCAGATTGCTGTTCCCCTGCCCCATAGTTTGCAGGGCAGACAAGAATGTTGTGATCAATCTGACGGCAGTCTATTCTTTCTCCCCAATGTAATCTGTCTTCCACCAGCCCTTCACAGTGCAGCCTTTTGGATCACTCAGAGTTCTTGTGAGACATGCTCTTTTGCATGTATACTTGCTGGCCCTTTCTTTTTTTCTGGCCTGTCTTCCTTCTATGAATCATAGACTCCTCTGTGCTAGCTACGGGCCTAGAATAGTTAGCTTCCTGATTATCGTGTCATTGCTAGTTAACATTTATTCTGGTCTAGGCTGAGATAGGAGCTTTATCTATATTACTGGATATTATCTCCAAAACAATTTCTTATCATATGTGAATAACAATTTGTTATCATATGTGAATAAAATGATGTTCAGAGCATCGAAGTAATTTATCTGAAGTCAGAAAACTACTAAGTACATTTCTGGAATATGCTTAGTGATCTCTATTGTTTTCCAAGATGGTGCTGTCTTTGTACTTCTCCACTTACACCCTTGTACAGAATCTATGATTACTGTTTATTGTGCCAAATATGACACTCTACACATTTGTTTTTACCACACTGTAGCCCTACTAGAAGTAAGGTTCACTGGAAAGAAGGACTATGAATTATTGATTCTCAGATTCCTGAATAAATAGTTGGCACTGAAGTTCATACTGATCTTCCCTTTTTTTTTAGACAGGAACTTTTAACTGCATTACAAACCTTCAACAGAAAAGAGGCCACCTTTCATACATTATAATTCCCACCTCCCTGCATATAGAACTTGATGTATAATAATAGTTGCCTTTTTTGAATACCTAATATGTACCAGGCTCTACCTTTATAATTTTACCTTCACAGCACTGTTATAAGTACTTTTTTTTTAATCCCTTGCATGCACATGAGGAAACAAATAAGTAAAAGGCAACTCACCATAGTTCTCTCTGATGATAAAAGGTGGATTATCCTACAAGCTTTCTACCCCAGCCTTTGCCTCTGAACAGAGGCTCTGTCCAGAATGTTGACAGTGTAAAGAGCTGGCTGATGACAAGAATACTGATTAACATGTCTTGAAAATTTTTCAGTAGTTAAATAAAGCCAATGATGAAAGAGTATTAAATTTGTCCTATTCATTAACTGTGAGTGGGAAGAGAATGACATGCATAGATTTCTGAGCCATGATAGGACATCACAATTGCTTTTACACTGTATATTTATTTATGTTTTCTACCCTACCATAGGATCAGCCATTCCTGAGACAGTAGAGTGAATGGGGAGTGGGAGAGAGGTGATGAATAAACTTTAACAACTAGAGTTTGATAAATCATAACTACATGTTTTTCCCCAATGCATCAAAAGATAAAAGAAAGAAAATGTTCTTTCATTTCTATCAGTAAATTCCTAGTGAGAATTAGTTCAAAAATATGTGAAACAGGTTGCTTGCCAAAATTAACATCAATATTTACAGGTTTTTGACTCAAATGTTAACATACTGTTTTCTATTGATTCTGGTATTAGTTCCACACAGGTCAAATTACCTTTTATGTGTAATTATTAGTTCAGTTTATGTATGTTTAATGTGTATTTTGTTTACATATAAAGCCTAGGAGAATACACTTATTTTTTAAATAATCACACTATACCCTCAGCGTGGACCACTGTTAACTATGCTGACTGACTACATGAGTTATCACACAAGCTCCTTGATAGTTAACATTGTTTCTGGCTTCAGTACATTCCAGGTACCAAAGAAAACATTTTGGAGGATAAGGAAGCAACTTTGATTGACTCTTTTTCTCCATGAAGATCATGTTGAAATAGACCTTTCCCTTAATTTTTATTCTATTTTTTTCTAGAAGGTTCTAACCATAGACAGCTTGGTAACTTACTTTAGACAATGTGTAGTATAGCAGTAAGTATGTGTGTAAGTAATAAGATATACAGTTAAACAGTAGCTTAAGTGTTGGCTTTAAGCTTTTAACAACAAAAATTTTAGTTTTTATTTGCTATAAGCTTCTAGCTTTTATTTGCTTCTAGGCAAAAAAAAAAAAAGAAGTATTTTGTCACAAACCAGGCCAGCAGTGACACCTGTAATTGTCAGCACTGTCTTCACATGTAGCATTACTGTGACAGGGTTTTGACCAGCATAGAGGCATCAAATGTGCTCAGAGTGTGCTCCTGTGAATCCACTATCTGTACAGTCACAGCTGTATCTAAAGAGTAAAAAGAAAATTTCACATCAACTCCTGGACATATTGAGATTAAATGTCTTTAGCCTGTCTCTTCACCAACCCAAGACCCAGGGATGGTCTAAATACTTAGCTCAAAAACCCTGGAGAAATTATCCCTATAGTTTCTAATGTATTATGTGTCTATATAAAAAATCTTACGGTGTCTTTTAAGTTTAAAATTAAGCCTCATGCTTAATTACCTTGAATTACCTGTAAAATCATGACTGCTTAATTTCTTCATTCATAAATTGGATCCTGCATCACAGGGCTATTGTGATAATGAAATGTGCATATAAAGAACCAGAAAGAACTGAACACATTCTAGTAAACAGTACCAAGTAAAGTTGTCAAGATTTGTGAAGGCAGTAGAGGCAATTTATACCACTGTGGTACTTTTTATACAGAGAGCTCATATAAAAGTTAACTTATGAAAAATTAAGAATAAATTATTGAAAATAACAGAAAAAGCCTTCCTTAAATAAATTGTAACTTATTTTCACTTATATTTATATTATAAGAATACTTATTACTATTTCCAACATTCATTGACTGACTAGTATTCTCTGACAGCCCCAAAATACAAATCTAATGGGAAAAGTTGTTAACTTTATCAAAAAGATTTATTTTAGATGGCATCTCCTTAAGAATTTAGCATTGTAAAAACATGGACTTGTAATCTTGGCTACAGGGTCTGAAGAGATATCTATCAGTTTCCTGTTTATCATGGTTGAATATGTATTTACCACCAAGCACAGTTATTAATACTGCGTTGTGGGCCATTTAGGGTTTTTCCATATCTTGGCTATTGTAAACTGTGCTGCAAAACATATAGGAGTCAGGTTTCCTTTCAAATTAGTGGGGTTTTTTTTTTTTTGCATTCTTTGGGTATCCACTCAGAAAGCAGAAATCATACATTGTCCCCCCCAAAAAAAATAAAAAGACTTCATCTTGATACTAATATATTAGCAAATACAACAAATGACTCCAATTTTTATACATATTGGTAATTAGAAATCCTCAATTCATTATTCAATTTGCTAAATTAAAAATACTTAGTTAAGGACCCTCCCTGGTGGTGCAGCGGGTTAAAGCACAGCACTAAGAAGCTTAAGCCACTTCCGCATGAGTTCGATTCCCGCCTGCCCCGGAGGTGACCACATGGCGTGGCAGACCTCTCCTGACCCGCCCACTGCTCCCCTCAGCAGTGTACTTCGTAAATCTGCCTGTTCTGCTCCCCACTCTGTCTCTGGTGAATCCTCTCACCCTCCACATCTCTGGCCTGTACCCCTGTCTGTACGAATGAATAAATAAATAAATCTTTAAAAAAAATACTTAGTTAAAAATCTATTACATATAGGAAAACTGATGAAAAGCCCTAAATTCAAGATTGACTAGTAGACCTCAATTCATGGAAAAAGCCCTTTTCCAGATTTCCTTTGAGTCAGAAAGAAACTTTTTCAGTGTATAATTTCTGATTTTTCCATATATCTCATAGGATATGGTGCTATTTTTTTTATTGTGGGACAATAGAGTCAGATCATATTGGTTGAAGTTGTGACTGTCTTCTCAACCTTAAGTATAGTAAACAAGAGAGAGTGAAGTAGAAAAATTGTTCATGGCACATTTAAGTGAGAAAAATAACAGGTGGCAGGATTTTAGCTTTGTTCTGTTTGTATTTCTATAAGAATGAAAAGTTTTGACTAATTTCTCTCCTGATGCTTTCTGGTGACAATAAAGCATAGATAGGAAAGCTTTCTTTTTTCCCTCTGGAGAATCTGTGTAGAAACTTTCATTCTGGTCCGTTTATGTGTTGGGCAATTACCTACCTCCAGGAATACAGCTTCCTACCATTGGAGAATAAATTGTATGTAATTTAGAAACAAGACATGGAATATAATTAAATGTGATACTTTATGGTCTGCAAAAGAAATTTACATTCACATTGCTCTATTTAAAATCATGCTACTTTTCTGGACATACCTAAAGCACATGTATCTTTTATTGTTCTTTTGAGTACTGACACTGTAAAATTTAAAAGATAAATTATCTTATTCATTAAATAAAAATAGAAAAGATACTGTTCCTCCTTTACAAAAAAAGTAGTGGTACACACTTGTGGGAGTGACCTGACTTCCTTGAATTTCAAACTCCTTTACTATAATACGGGGCATTAAAACCCTCCTTGCCTTCCATAAGGATGTTAAAAGATCTAACGAATATTGCTATTCCTTATGTTGTTATTAAAAATTGTTCTACATTTGGCAACTCAGCACTTGCAGTTCAACAAATTGAAATTTTGGTACTTTTCTGTAATGTAAGTATTCTGAAATTATTATAATGACTTGGCAAATCTTCACTGGAGACAGATGACCCCTGAAGGATACATTTTTCTGGGTAAAATCTAAATGTTACAACTTTTCCTCAAAGATAGTCTGAAGGTTTTACGCTAGGGATGCGAGACCTTTAGTTTTTCCAGAGGGGCAAAACAGTTCTTGGTCAGGGAGTTTTCTCTAAGCTAAATACCCAAATGAAGAAGAAAACTCACCTATTAGCTCCATCCTGACACAACTCTCCATAGGGACAAGGCTGACTGGCACACTCATCAATGTTGAGTTCACAGTGATCTCTCAGAACCGGGGGCACAGGCATAGAGATAACCCCCACCACATCCTGACAAGTGGCACCATTTAGGCCGGACTGTGACCAGCATTCACCAACTTCCAATTCACAATTTATACCTTTTTTAAAAAGCCATCAGAAAAAAATTTTAGGAAAGTGTTAATATTTTAGCTCTGTGACAATGTTTTATTTACCAAAGCCCTTGTCAAATCTTTTGTTACCCAAAATAATTTTCCTCCTTAACTGCAATTGATATTAACTTTTGGCTGGCTTTTAGGAAACTGCACAAAGCAGAGCAGCTGTTACTTACAAAAAACTATTGCGTGAAACAGCTTGTGGCTTTTTAGTTTCTGAAAACAAGTAATTTTTAAAACAAAGTTAATTGTTAATTGTACTTTTGATATAATCTTAGAAACAATTGGTCAATGTTTTTAGGTTAGTTTTAAACACTTAATTTAGTTCGGCATATATGGAGCAGTGAGTGAGCTGTCTCCAAAGCCAAGTGGCCTGGGTTGGCATTGTCACGATTAGCTGTGTAATCACAGGTAAGTTGCTCAAACTTCCCATACCTGTCTCCTCACCCTGAAAGTGGGAGATGTTTAAAAACTGGGAACTATAGTTATAATTATCACATAGGATATTATTACAATTATTTTCTAAGGTTCGTATAACAGTATTTGGTACAAATTGTTTGCAAAAGAACAAAATCAGTGTTTTTCTTTCCACAAATTAATGTGTAAGTCAAAGACATACAAGAGAGCTCAGAAAAGCCTACCAAAGAGCTGCTACAGGATTCAGAATAACAAATTAATGACCTAAGAAATAAAATCAATGACCATAAAGTAGAAATTAAAGTTTTAAGTAAGAAATAAGAAAATTCAGGTGTTAAGAGCTCAATACATGAGATCAAGAATTCTAGAGAAAGCTATGGAAACAGACTAGATCAAATGGATTATCAGTGACCTCAAAGATAGTAATGGACTAAAGACCCAGGTGGATGAAGAGAAAGAAATAAGATTTAAAAAAAAATGAAAAGGCAATACAGGAATTATTTGACACCATTAAGAAAACCAACATTAGAATAATAAGTCAGAAAAAGGGATTGGGGGACAGAGAGAATACTGAAGGAAACAAGGAAAACATCCCACAGAATGGGACAGAATTGAATATAACTGTCCAAACTTACTGCTGCTGATAGGGACAAATGTGATTTGGTATATGACTACATCATGCCAAAATAGCTGGATGAAAAATGATAGGTACAGTTAGTCATCCAGATGCTTTTATATTTCCAGATGTTGGCTTCAAAGATAAAACATCTGGATAACTACGATTTTAATTTAGATGTTTACTGGCATTTGCTTTAGCCATAAAATATATATACAATTAATTGACCTTCAAAAATGTGCTCCAATTGTGCTGTACATTCTATTTGGAAACATTCATTTTATGGCTAGTGTTATTAAGTAGTGCACTGTGTCACCATAACTATAAGTAGTAAAAGCAATTGAGTGCAGTTACATTGAACAGCATTTCTGTGGTTGATTTTCCAAGAAATGAAAGATGCTTAATTTGAAAATTCACAGAAACTCACTCCTGGAACCAAATTAATGTCAGAATTGGTTAATAGATCTGTGTAAAATGAAAGGAAAGGAAATAGGAAGGGTAAGGGGGAAAGTGTAGGATAAGGGGAACTCATCATTAAAAGAGGAGTGTACAGGATAGTAAAAATGTAATTTTTCTGACTTCATTAGCTTTGGTGACTCACTATAATTAATATGTGTTCATAACTTTTGTGGTATCTTTACATAAATATAGGTGACCTGAGATGTAAGATCATTAATAGCTGACAATCAAAGCTAGTTCACAGTATACCCATTTTTTAACTGTCAAAAGAAGTTCAGAATTTTTCTCAGGGCCAAATATTTTTAAAATTTAAAATTTTATTAGAGGTTGGAATTGCATGCATTTCCCAAAAGTATTAGATAAAATAATGACATCCCACGTTTATTAGTCAGTGCTTTTGATAAGAAAGCAAACCCATATTTTTTTTTATTGGTTTTTGTTTTTTGCATCGCCTAACAAACACCTGCCAGACATTCGGCACAGTGGCTGAATCAAGCTAAACAGGACGAAGAGAAGTCATGGAGGATACTGGGTGTGCTTTGGAGGTTAACATGCAATAGCATACAGGAAAAGAAGACAAGTGCTACAGTAAGTGATAAATGATGAATCAGCAGGTTTTCAAGAGCTGTGAGTTTAATAAGACCAACTTACCTGGTCCTGGGAATCAGGGAAAGAGTTAACCCTTTAAAAGCGTGCAGAAAGTGGTTTTCCAGTGATGAAGGAATTGTAGGTGCATTGGGAAAAATTGTCTACTTGTGTTTGCCTTGAATTTTGTCAAGGTTTTAAAAGATGTGGGCACTGCTGATGCCACCTACAATATATTCTTGCCATTCCATTGTTTCTCATGGCTCTAGGTGTTCCTCTTACTTGTAAATGTTCCATTCTCACTCCTTGTTTCCCTTGGATAATTCTAATTATTTTTCAAAGCGTGAATGCCAGTTCGTTGTGCTCTCATAATTCCCTGTATTATAAAAGTATATTACATATATATATATTGCAATTGTTACAATTGCTTATTTTCCATTTTATCTACAATATTATGAGATGTTGAAGTCAAAAATCCTTGTACTATAACTTCCAATTCTGTTAAGATCTGTCAAGAGTAGATACTCTAGAACATAGGAAATGTTACATTAATTTTTAGTGAATGATCAAGTCATAGCTATGGAATAATCCACCATCTCTCCCAAAAGGCACTGATGACACCCTGTAATTAATACTATGCTCATACCTACTGAACAAAGAACAAAATTCTAGATGTTTCTGAGCCCATTCTAAATCAAAAGCCATCAAGTCAAATTTAGGGCTTTGGCAAATGTTTAAAACTAAACACTGTTCCTGAATGGTTGTGTCCTAAATTTCTGATCAATTTCCAGAGATGTTGCCCCTCAACGTGAATATTTCAGGTATAAGAAATCAAGCTTAACATTGTGTACGACAGGATAACACACATCATGTGTTATCACTTTGGAGTAGGTCTTGTCAGCAGTGCTGTCCTCAACACTCAGGGTGGGAAGAGTGCAGGAGGCATGCAGTGCAGCACTGACAGACACGTTGAGCACCTTTCTTATCTGCAGAGCCCATACTTTGGACAGCATTGTGGTCTAGTTTCGGGCTGCCATCCTAAATTTCACTATCTATCCAATACACTTGCTATCAAACAAAAATATTTTCCTTTTCAGTAAGAAATATGTATACTATATCCGTGTTCTTTTTTTTTTAATGATTTATTTATTCGTACAGGACTGGGGTACAGGCCAGAGATGCGGAGGGTGAGAGGATTCATCAGAGACAGTGGGGAGCAGAACAGGCAGATCAACGAAGTACACTGCTGAGGGGAGCAGTGGGCCAGCCAGGAGAGGCCCGCCACGCCATGTGGATCTCCAGGGCAGGCGGGATCGAACTCATGCGGAGGTGGCTTTAGCTTCTTAGTGCTGTGCTTTAGCCCGCTGCGCCACCAAAGAGGGCCCCGATATCCGTGTTCTTTAAGAAATAATGGGTGTTGTATTGATGACAACAGTTATCAGGGCAAGTCTGATCAGTGCAAAGTATCAGTACAAACAAGTACTATGGCAATAGATTCCATTAGTATAGATTTGTAGTATTTTCAATAGATCACAGTAAGTTTTTTTTTTAACAATCTAGAGAAATGAAAAGAGACTGCTTCAGCTAATAGTGTCACACAAACATTATAATGTAAAGAAATACACTATGAGACCCTCCCTGGTGGCACAGCGGGTTAAAGCACAGCACTGAGAAGCTAAAGCCACTTCAGCATTTCAGATGCTAAAGCCCCGCCCTGGAGGTGACCCACATGGCAGACAGACCTCTCCTGACCCGCCCCCCCCTCCCCTTAGCAGTGTACTTCTCAGGCCTGTTCTGCTCCCCACTCTGTCTCTGGTGATACTCTCACAGCCCCTGCATCTCTAGCTTGTATCCCAGTTCTGTATGCATAAATAAATAAATCTTTAAAGAATAATAAATACACTATGAGAGAATAAAGACAGTTTTTATCTTCAAGGGAACTTTTTTAGGTCTTTATCCAATAAACTCTCAGGCTGATAGAAGCACTTTACCGAAGGATATTAAAACATTTTTTAATAAACACTTAAGGTAGATACAAGCCTAGGGTCCTTCTCTGATGGATGACTGGATGTCATCAACTGAAAGACTGATCTGGTCTCCTCTGCATTTTTAACATCTCTGATATAAGATACATTTTACAACCCACAGTGTCTTGGCATTACCCACAGTATCTGAATCAGATACCCACAGTATCTGAGTTACAGCATTTTTGTTTCTTAGGATCACATGAAATCAGTGTGATTCTCAACTAATTAAATATGATAAAATGTGAAAATGGATTTATTCTTTTATTGTTACTATATTATATATTCCATTATTATTATAAGGATTACTGCCTTATCATTTCCCCCAAGAGCCCACTGTGGTGACTGGGTCTTTACCCACCCCTAACCAGTTACAGATCCTTGGTAACCTTGAACCTCAGGACACGTGCATACACAGAAGCTAGGGTCCTCCTGGCCTGTAAAGTGGCCTTAGCTCCAAACCAACTGCATAACTTCCCAGGTATACAGAACCACCCTCCCCATAAAAATCATATTCAGTTCCCACTTAGAGATGCTGCCAGATGTGGATCCCGGGCTCCTCCAGAAACCAGGGTGCCTAATGCCTCTTGGAAAGATACCCCAGCCAGCCTGATCCCACTCCCAGCAAGACATGAGGTTCCACCTGATGTGCTTTAAAAGGTATTAAAAAGTAATCAGCATCGGGCCCTCCCTGGTGGCGCAGCGGGTTAGAGCACAGCACTAAGAAGCTAAAGCCACTAACGCGTGAGTTCGATTCCCGCCTGCCCCGGAGGTGACCACATGGCGAGGCAGACCACTCCTGACCCGCCCACTACTCCCCTCAGCAATGTACTTCGTCGATCTGCCTGTTCTGCTCCCCACTCTGTCTCTGGTGAAGCCTCTCG